GAAACTCAAAATTTCGACCCGAAAAAAAAACGACAGTGTTACCCCTTACGTTTTTTTTTTTTGGGCGAAAAATTAAGTATCCCCAATCTTCTCAAAACTCTGGATTCTGATAGAGGGCCATGAGACTTAGACCTGAGTGCAAAATGGAGGCTCTAGACCCTTCCAGAGCTGAGATATCGAAATTCAAAATTTCGACCAGAAAAAAAAACGACAGTGTTACCCCTTACGTTTTTTTTTTGGGGGGCGAAAAATTAAGTATCCCCAATCTTCTCAAAACTCTGGATTCTGATAGAGGGCCATGAGACTTAGACCTGAGTGCAACAATGGAGGCTCTAGACCCTTCCAGAGCTGAGATATCGAAATTCAAAATTTCGACCAAAAAAAACGACAGTGTTACCCCTTACGTTTTTTTTTTGGGCGAAAAATTAAGTATCCCCAATCTTCTCAAAACTCTGGATTCTGATAGAGGGCCATGAGACTTAGACCTGAGTGCAACAATGGAGGCTCTAGACCCTTCCAGAGCTGAGATATCGAAATCAAAATTTCGACCCGAAAAAAAAAAACGACAGTGTTACCCCTTACGTTTTTTTTTTTTTGGCGAAAAATTAAGTATCCCCAATCTTCTCAAAACTCTGGATTCTGATAGAGGGCCATGAGACTTAGACCTGAGTGCAACAATGGAGGCTCTAGACCCTTCCAGAGCTGAGATATCGAAAATCAAAATTTCGACCAGAAAAAAAAAAACGACAGTGTTACCCCTTACGTTTTTTTTTTTTGGGCGAAAAATTAAGTATCCCCAATCTTCTCAAAACTCTGGATTCTGATAGAGGGCCATGAGACATAGACCTGAGTGCAACAATGGAGGCTCTAGACCCTTCCAGAGCTGAGATATCGAAATTCAAAATTTCGACCCGAAAAAAAAACGACAGTGTTACCCCTTACGTTTTTTTTTTTTGGGCGAAAAATTAAGTATCCCCAATCTTCTCAAAACTCTGGATTCTGATAGAGGGCCATGAGACTTAGACCTGAGTGCAACAATGGAGGCTCTAGACCCTTCCAGAGCTGAGATATCGAAACTCAAAATTTCGACCCGAAAAAAAAAAACGACAGTGTTACCCTTACGTTTTTTTTTTTGGGCGAAAAATTAAGTATCCCCAATCTTCTCAAAACTCTGGATTCTGATAGAGGGCCATGAGACTTAGACCTGAGTGCAACAATGGAGGCTCTAGACCCTTCCAGAGCTGAGATATCGAAATTCAAAATTTCGACCCGAAAAAAAAAACGACAGTGTTACCCCTTACGTTTTTTTTGGGGCGAAAAATTAAGTATCCCCAATCTTCTCAAAACTCTGGATTCTGATAGAGGGCCATGAGACTTAGACCTGAGTGCAACAATGGAGGCTCTAGACCCTTCCAGAGCTGAGATATCGAAATTCAAAATTTCGACCAGAAAAAAAAACGACAGTGTTACCCCTTACGTTTTTTTTTTGGGGCGAAAAATTAAGTATCCCAATCTTCTCAAAACTCTGGATTCTGATAGAGGGCCATGAGACATAGACCTGAGTGCAACAATGGAGGCTCTAGACCCTTCCAGAGCTGAGATATCGAAACTCAAAATTTCGACCAGAAAAAAAACGACAGTGTTACCCTTACGTTTTTTTTTTTGGGGCGAAAAATTAAGTATCCCCAATCTTCTCAAAACTCTGGATTCTGATAGAGGGCCATGAGACTTAGACCTGAGTGCAACAATGGAGGCTCTAGACCCTTCCAGAGCTGAGATATCGAAAATCAAAATTTCGACCCGAAAAAAAACGACAGTGTTACCCCTTACGTTTTTTTTTTTGGGGGCGAAAAATTAAGTATCCCCAATCTTCTCAAAACTCTGGATTCTGATAGAGGGCCATGAGACTTAGACCTGAGTGCAACAATGGAGGCTCTAGACCCTTCCAGAGCTGAGATATCGAAATTCAAAATTTCGACCAGAAAAAAAAAACGACAGTGTTACCCCTTACGTTTTTTTTTTGGGGGCGAAAAATTAAGTATCCCCAATCTTCTCAAAACTCTGGATTCTGATAGAGGGCCATGAGACTTAGACCTGAGTGCAACAATGGAGGCTCTAGACCCTTCCAGAGCTGAGATATCGAAAATCAAAATTTCGACCCGAAAAAAAAACGACAGTGTTACCCCTTACGTTTTTTTTTTTTTGGCGAAAAATTAAGTATCCCCAATCTTCTCAAAACTCTGGATTCTGATAGAGGGCCATGAGACTTAGACCTGAGTGCAACAATGGAGGCTCTAGACCCTTCCAGAGCTGAGATATCGAAATTCAAAATTTCGACCAGAAAAAAAAAACCCAGTGTTACCCCTTACGTTTTTTTTTGGGGGGCGAAAATTAAGTATCCCCAATCTTCTCAAAACTCTGGATTCTGATAGAGGGCCATGAGACATAGACCTGAGTGCAACAATGGAGGCTCTAGACCCTTCCAGAGCTGAGATATCGAAATTCAAAATTTCGACCACAAAAAAAAAACGACAGTGTTACCCCTTACGTTTTTTTTGGGGGCGAAAAATTAAGTATCCCCAATCTTCTCAAAACTCTGGATTCTGATAGAGGGCCATGAGACTTAGACCTGAGTGCAACAATGGAGGCTCTAGACCCTTCCAGAGCTGAGATATCGAAACTCAAAATTTCGACCAGAAAAAAAAACGACAGTGTTACCCTTACGTTTTTTTTTTTTGGGCGAAAAATTAAGTATCCCCAATCTTCTCAAAACTCTGGATTCTGATAGAGGGCCATGAGACTTAGACCTGAGTGCAACAATGGAGGCTCTAGACCCTTCCAGTGCTGAGATATCGAAACTCAAAATTTCGACCCGAAAAAAAAAACGACAGTGTTACCCCTTACGTTTTTTTTTTTGGGGGGAAAAAATAAGTATCCCCAATCTTCTCAAAACTCTGGATTCTGATAGAGGACCATGAGACTTAGACCTGAGTGCAAAATGGAGGCTCTAGACCCTTCCAGAGCTGAGATATCGAAATTCAAAATTTCGACCAGAAAAAAAAACGACAGTGTTACCCCTTACGTTTTTTTGGGGCGAAAAATTAAGTATCCCCAATCTTCTCAAAACTCTGGATTCTGATAGAGGGCCATGAGACATAGACCTGAGTGCAACAATGGAGGCTCTAGACCCTTCCAGAGCTGAGATATCAAAATTAAAAATTTCGACCAGAAAAAAAAAACGACAGTGTTACCCCTTACGTTTTTTTTTTGGGGGCGAAAAATTAAGTATCCCCAATCTTCTCAAAACTCTGGATTCTGATAGAGCCTGCTCATCACATGACTTAAGTTTCACAATGCGAGGTAGTCAAGCCCATATTAATCCAGTAAAACACTAATAAAACAAAAAACAGAATTTTTTTTTTTGGGGAAGTTACCTTGGGCCAGCTCATCACCATGGCAACGCGTCTGATGTGGTCAAACAAGTGTCAACATTCATCACATCGTGGAATAAAGTCATTTATCTGCCTTTTCATAATGTGTGGTCGTGATGTGGGTTTTTTATATTGTGTGAAATTGAGAGTTTGTGTTGTTCAGACTGTTGATACCTGAACTCCTAACTCGCTACAAAGTGGAACAGTGAGTTTCACCCTTTATATATTATATATATTGTCAAGGCAACAACGTTCTATTATTTTTCCTCTATGATGTCATGCAGGCTGAGAGCAGCAGATTCTCGCGAACATTAAACTAATGTCTAGTGATGCCATTGACATGTGCATGGGTTTGTAAAATATTTAGGTATTAAGATTATTAAAACATAGGTCAATATGTCAGGCCTAGAAAATGTAGGGTCATAAAAAACAAAGATCCCCTCTGGACATCACTTTTCAGTAAGAACTAAGAAGCATAAAGACATGTTTAATTTTTCTACAATTCTACAAATGCAAACACTGTGATGCACATGTGATCTTGACTTACACATTCACCGGCTAAATGTAATTGCAAAAATGGCAATTAAAGAAGTTCTGACAGAGCTCTAGCGTCATTTGTTTGCAGATGCCACTAGTTGAATAATTTATCCAGTGACACACATTTTAAGTGTGGGTGAATTGTCCAAACTTTTTGAGGCCACACAGGACAAATCATGAATATTAAATATTCCAGAATGTATTTATCCAACAGCTAGGCCTATTAAAAAAATAGGAGATTTGGGATTTTAGTTAAAAAAGGGCAGAAGTTCAGATTTAATTCAGATTTAATGTTTCTAACCTTCATGAGATCATATTTCAGGTTTGAATTTCCCTATTGCTCATTCTACCCTTTTTTTCACTCATTGAAATGGTCACTGGTCAGTAGATGATTGATTATATCATATAGCCTACCTGAAGTGGCTGGCTGCTGGGAACTTGGGAAGTGGGCCTTTGTTGTGTTTCACAAACTCACAAGAGGTTGGCAGACATCGCTTTCATCATGAAAATCAGTGTTTGTCCTAATACCGCCTAAATCAGGCTACTTTACAGAATTGAAGAGGTTTGTGGGCAAAACTGTGGGCAAACGGACAGTTTAAGATATTCTTTTTGCCTTTCTTTGCACTCAACATCTGAAAAGGTCGTAAAATGTTTTGTGTTTAAACATATTATTGATTGGCCTATAACGATTTATTATAGGCTATGTAGCCTAAATTACTTTTACACAAGCATGTGGCATAATTTGTCACCAACCAACCAACTATTTTTCCCCTATTATTTATTTTTTTATTTTTATATATTTTTTAATAGTGCTTGTTTTATAGGAGACGAGACGACAATAGAGACTAGATGCTTGAAATGAGACGTGAAGAACCGCTGAATAAGTTTCTCTTTAAAATGAACTGTTCGAAAGAATCGATTCGCGGATGAGGAGGACTTCACAAGAGCACGGGCAGGCCTCGCGCCAAAATTATATCGTCGCAATAAACAAATATTTGTACAATGCCAAAGCGTTAATCCGGGATAAAACCACAGATACATCTTAAACCACCGAATGAGCGCTTCTAATAAACATATTTTCTCTTCATTGACGCAATTTTGTTCTGGTAAGCAAAATTTGATACGTAAATGAATGACCTTGTAAAATTAGCAAAGTTAATTTAGCCGGCAAATCTTTAAAAAACAGCTTGACTATTACATATAAAATCATTATAGAAACATTTTAGTTCATATTTCTACCACACTTATCTTTTTGAGCGGAGTTGAATGAGCGAGGACAAACAAATTATCATTGAGTCGACACAATAAACACTGAATACTAACGTACAATCTTTATGAGAAACCAGACCTGCCAATACATCTGATATACATATAAAAGATGAATTAGCTAATAGTAATATTTTTCATTTTTACTCAATAATATTGCTACATCTTTCCGACAGTGTGAGGAGTTTTTGTGAAGATGTGGGCGAATCAAAACCAGAAACCAAACGCAGGTAACGTTAAGGTTTGGATTTACTGTCACATTATGAATTCCTATGTTAAGTTAACGTTACTTGGTTGGAAATACCTAAAAATAAGAGTTGGGTCAGTCTATGTCTTCCATCTACTATCTAGATAATCAAATTACTTGCCATTTATTATTTCCAGAGACCTCCTGGTAAATCTGGCTAAAAAAAACTGCTTATCTGCTAATACAACACTGTGCTGCAGTTAGTGTTATTCAGGTTGCTGGAGTATCAAAGCAGACTTTTGTCTCTCTGTGTTTTTGCAGGCTGTCTCTCCGTGCCTCTGTTTAATCAAAGGAAGAGGACCAGGCTGCCTTTGACATCTAATCCCTCTGACAGTGAGCTCTTCACTGCCAACCACTACAATGAGAGACAATCCTCCTCCTCCTCCTCCTCCTCTGCTCTTCCCAGTATGTGTTTCCACTGCGTCAGTCTTGTATCTAATGCTGAATAAACATGTACAAGTTCTGATGCAGCACACTATGCATCAGATGTTCTGTCTATTCATTTTCCAACTCAATAGTCTGTCATTATGTTACACTATAATACACTGAATAATCGTTGTCATATAACTTTAATTTGTGCAGCATTACTGGTTTCAAGTTAAATAAGTTATACAGTGTACAGAAAACAATCAATAGACAGATCATAGATTATATTAATTTTGCACATTTAAATTAGCTCATGTTGCAGTTAAGAGCTGGGCGATAGGAAAGTGTTTCATATGGCAACAATATAAACAATCAAGCATTGAGATTTTCTATATAATATATATTGCTTTTTGTGAGTGTACTGTATGAATGTGGATAAAGACAGATATATTTATTAGGTTTTCTTTGGGTATTAACAAGTCGTAATTTGCTCTTGCACAAATTAAGCCTTTAAAAAGGTCTTAAATCAGAGCTGAAAGTCTTAAATTCATAAAGTCGTAGCATTAAATGTTGCTTGCATTGCAAAAATTGTGCTTCCTCAGTATTTTTGTCCTGTTTTCTAATACAAATATGTAAATATCTTTAAATGAAGATGCATTTACTTGAGATGCAAATGTAAAATAAAGTCTTGAAAAACTGAACAAAATTAAGCGAGTTCATGCTTAAACATAATCAAATATCTGTCAATGACTTGTGAAAACTCACCTTTGAATTACAAAAAGTTTTTCTGAGCCCACAGGCAAATTTGTGTTCTTGTTTTAATCATAAACTCACTTCAATTTGATAAATTTCACAGAGAACAAGACTTGCATGTTTTATGCAATTTTGTATCTCCAGTAAATGCATTTTGATATAAGAATCTTCAGACATTTGCACTGGAAAACAAGACAAAGCTTATGATGTCATGTCTTTCATGATCATGTCTTATAAAATATAACCCTAGAGTTTTTTGTTGTTGTTGTTTAACTTTAGGTCAGAGTGGTCAATGGAACCAGCCAGCCTATCTTTCACCTCAGCAAGCCAGCATGAGATCAGCTGCTTCACCTGGTGTGGCAGGACGAGGATATTCACCTTTACCTCACCCAAAAAAACCTGTCTATGCCCGGTACTCAACTGATACTCATATATGAAATAATGACTACACACCCAGAAGCTGCTGGGTCAGAATATGTGCATTATTTATTCAGAAACGCAAGATTGCTAGATCAGTTGCCTTCCATAATTTGAAACAGTAAAACCAACATGAATGAAATATACCAAAAAAGATTGGCATTTTGTACAAAATAAATAAAAAACTGTAAAGGACCTATTTCTTTCTGACCCAAGCCTTAGGAATTACTTTTATTTTAGTAACCTTAGCAAACACTTAAACTACATTAGTAAGCATAACATTATTTATTAATCCTAGTTTTTGTTAATTTCAACATTTATTTAGACATTAAAGGGTTAGTTCACCCAAAAATGAAAATTCTGTCAGTATTTACTCACCCTCATGTTCCAAACCTCTACAGTATGTGTTTATTCTCATTCCCCATTGACAACCATAGTAGGAAAAAATACATACTATGGTAGTCAATGGGGAATGAGATCTGTTTGATTAAAACATTCTTCCAAATATCTTCCTTTGTGTTCAGCTGAACAAATAAACACATAGAGCTTTGGAACAACATGAGGGTGAGTAAATACTGACAGAATTTTCATTTTTGGGTGAACTAACCCTTTAAAATCAAAAGTTGTATCTATTAATATTATTTAATAGACCTGAGCTAACATGAACTAACAATGAACGGTTGTATTTTTATTTAACTAACTTTAACTAAATTATTTAGTACTGTACAGTAACAAATGTATTGCTCATATTAGCAATGCATTAACTGATGTTAACTAATAGGTCCTGATTGTAAAGTGTCACCTAACCGTATAGTTTGTAGTCAAGTAGATTCACTTGCATTCAATAATATTTTTAAGGTGAACAAAACCATTTCGTTCTTATTTTACCGCATTAAGCACATTTTATTTGTTATCCTGCAAAATATATTTGACAGTATATTTTGTATTTGTCACCGTTTTATAAAGGCCTCCAGTGAGACAGGATTCATTGCCAGCATTTGGATCCCAGCTTCATGGTGGCTTTCCCAGCAGCAGCTCAGCGTCGTTGGGCCAGCCCACATGGTCCAGCGGCGTTCAGAATCAACAGTCGTTTAATAGACTAGCAAATTCTCCCAGAATGCCGTACCGTCCCCAACAGTGTACACCCACAGGAGGAAGCACTCAGAGCCCTGGAGCTCAGAGTCAGAGCGGGAAGTGGAAGTTCAGACCTGTTGGACAGTCAACCAGTGAAATGTGGGCAAAAGAAAAGATGGACAGCTCAAGTGTCCAAACCACCCCTCAGAAGCAGGTGTGTGTTACTGTAATAGAGGCGGTCATTTTAGACTTTAAGAATGCAAAATGTCTTTGGTCTCTAAAAATAAATTAAACGGATAACTAAAAGTAAAAATACACAGTCAACTTCACTATCATGCAATGCTGCAAACCTGCAGCTTCAAAGTTTTTGTTTCTGCAGCTTTTAATTCAGCTTAGAGATCACACTGTGACATATCAATCTTCTGTCTTCTTTGCTTATTATCAAAAGTAAAAAAAAGTCTTACGGGTTTGGAATGACATAGAGTTAATGAGTAGTTAATGACCAGTCCTTCCAGAAAAACGCGGAGTTTTTTTGTGATTGTTGCGGGCAAAAATCCTTGATTACGCGGCCCGTTTTCTTTAAAAATGCGATGGAATATGCGGGATATTTATGCAATTTTATGCGATGAAATTGCGGGAACTTGCAAAAATTGCGGGAACTTGCAAAAATTGCGGGAACTTGCAAAAATTGCGGGAACTTGCAAAAACTGCGGTTTGATGAAAAAGAGAAAAAAAGTGATTCCCCCAACATCCTGTTCTCACTAGGCTACTACCTTAATGTAAAGAGTCATTTCTTATTACTTTCTATGATGTAGCAAGCATACTACATCATAGAAAGTGCTGGGAATATTTAATTTCTCATCTTGTTTTATTTTTATTAAATTTTCAAAATCACAGAGTTTGATATCAAGTTCTTGACATTTCTTTTACACATTTTCTGATAAGTATAACATCTGAGAAGTAGCCTAAAACATGAAACAATAATTTGGAAAAAAAAAAAAAAGAAAAAAAGAAAAAAAAGATAGAGGGCATCACAGACATATTAAATTCCTTTAGCAGAGATACAGATCTTTGGGGCTTTTCGATTTTTTTTTTTAAATTTTAAAGACTCAAAATACATTTTAAAGGCTGTTTTGAAATGAGCAAAGTTGGGTTTTGAGTTAGGCTACTCCACTTAGTTTGATGAATATGAAATTTTCCTAATAATAGAAAAAATCGATAACATACATTTTTCTTATAAGAAAGTCAAAATCATTTGTATGAAGATGACAAATTTAAGACAAGGTTGCAATTCATTTTAAAACCTAGAAATTGAGACATCTCATTCCAAAAGATTGAAAAATAGGGACATTCAAACAATAAGTGCACAATAGACTCTCTTTCACAATTACAAAATCAGCAATGTTTTATTTCAGACTGTAACGAGTGTAAATAAGGTGTGGCCCCTTTAAGAGCTGCGCGCTGAACTGTCTGCAGTGTGTGCGCCTCAAACACCCCATGTCGTGTGCGGGTAATTTCTGTTTGATGCTTATTCTTTTATCTTATTTTGTTTATTAAGTAACGATGTGATGGTAGAACGTGTGACAGACAGTTATACGAGTTCGATTTGTGAGATGTCAATCGCCTCCGTGAGTCTTTCTGGCCTCTGCAATAACTTCAGCTGTGAGCTATCCCGTCGCGTAATTGCGTCACTTCATAACGTTCCCATGGAAACCGGAGGAAATGGCTGCTCTTGTATGAAGCAAACGCAACATTTTTCAACTTTCTGCGAAGATATATGTGACTTTTTTTTGCAACGAAAATACGAGGATTATGAAATCATGCAAGCCCCGCATATTTTGCGTGGAAATCGGCATTTTATGCGGCGAAAGTGCGGCTTATTCGAAAAAATGCGGCCCCCGCATAAATATGCGGACTTTGGCTGATTTTGCATTGAATTCAGCGATCGCATAATCGCGTTTTTCTGGAGGGACTGAATGACAGAATTGTCATCTACTTTTGTAATCCAGTTTTATTCACTTTTGATAATAGCCAAAGTTAAAGGCATAGTTCACAAAAAATCTAAATCTAGGGTTCCTCAAACTCGGTCCTGGAGGGCCACTGTCCTGCAGATTTTAGCTCCAACCCTGATTAAGCAATCTATGTTAGACCCTCCAGGACCGAGTTTGAGGAAGCCTGTGCAATTGAGTGGAATCGAGTCTCCCATATTTTGATCTTTATGTGTTTTTTGGAACTTTACAACCCTTGTCACAATCTACTTACACTCAATTGAATTATCTTCTTTTTGTGTGTGGAAAAAAGTGTGTGTATAGCTTTTTTTGGCTCGAAGATTTTCTGCTTCCAGTATAAAATGTTGTTTTGATTGTTCAGCTAACATTTGTTTTCCCTCTTGCTGGATAGAAGCCCCCTCGTGAGGTATCGCTGCGTCTTATTTCTTCTGTTATTGAAGGAATGAAGCACTGGAGCCAGTATAAGGACAGAGTACCAATGCTGTTTGAGATCTTTGGTGAGGAGACTATCACACACATGTGATCCCCTCGATTTGAATCGTTGTCTAACAGTCCTGTCTCTCTTTACAGCCACACTGGACTCTGCAGTTACAGTTGGGGAACATGGAACCAAGAAATTCCTCATGAGGGATGGGAAAGAGGTCGTCCAGTGCCTTTACTATGAAGTTGTGAGTCTAGAAACATTAGTCCTCTTCCTGAGCTACATCCATCCACACAGAACACATTTTTTTCCATTCCACTGCACTACTTTTCTTTAATGTTTTTCAGTGTAAGCACATGCTAGACTGACGTGTTTGACCTTTGCTTTCGCGTCTTGTGCAGTTCTGAAAACATGGTTTTAAAGGACCAGTTCGGTATTTTACAATTAAAGCCCTGTTTTAAGATCGTCCCTGATGAAATAGAATGGTTAAGATTGTTTTTTAGACAGATGCACCTGTCACGATAATTTTTGGATTCTGTGTTAGCACCCCCCCCACCTTTATAATGAAAGCATAGGTGCACTCGAACAATCATTCATTAAAACGCATAAAACTTTAGTTTACAAAGACGTGAGACTCACAGAGTGGTCTGGGGTGTTCACTGATATACTCACACAAAAATCGCTGCAAAATATGCTTTCCAACAGGTTTTATCGTAGTTTTTGTCCAAGTCCATTTTCTTCCTGTTTTTGGTCGAAGTTCATTCTTGTGACAGCAGTATCTGTCTAAAAAACAATCTTAACTATTCTATTTCATCAGGGACGATCTTAAAACAGGGCTTTAATTGTAAAATACCGAACTTGTCCTTTAACTTATTTTCAAAACACATCTGATCTCTAGACCTTGCAGGGTTTTTTTTATTAGCTATAAACAAGTGCAGTAATGTTTCATAATATAATATTAGAACACAGTTTTACTGTATTTTTGATTAAATAAATCCTGCATTGGTGAGCTAAAGAGACTTGTTTCAAAAACATAAAACAAATCTTACAGACCCCAAACTTTTGAAATAATTGGAGTGTATATTTTTCCAAAAAATGTTATAATAATTGTATTAATTTCTAATTAGTATTAAAGGATTAGTTCATCTCAAAATGAAAATTTCCGAATAATTTACTCACCCCAGTGTCATCCAAGATATCCATGTCTTTCTTTCCTCAGTGGAAGAGAAAATAATTTTTTTGAGGAAAACATTTCTGGATTTTTCTTCGAATAATGGACTTCAATTGCAACCAATGTTTTGAAGCCCATATCAATGCAGTTTCAAAGGTCATTGAAGTGCTTAAACCTGCTGTGTACAATCCCAGCTGAGGAAGAGGGTCTTATCTAGCGAAACTAGGGCTGTGCAAAAATTAATTGCGATTAATCGCATCCAAAATAAAAGTCTGTGTTTACATAATATATTTGTGTGTTAGGGACAGTGGCAGTGTTAGGGACACCGTAAACATGTACAGTATGTTCAGAGTTATAAAGTCATTTTATGTCTTTTCTGTAGGATCAGATTCTGCCCAGACTGATCAGAGGTCAGGTGCATCGCTGCGTCGGAAACTACGACAGGAAAAAGGACACAATGACTTGTGTGTCAGTTCGAGCTGCTTCACTGTCAGAGCAAAGGAATGCGCAGGAGGCTGTGAGAGCGTCAGATGCAGCGATGAGGGCTGTGGTGCTGGCTCTCAGTGAAATCTGATGGGGATCGAGTGAGTAACATAAGCACAGACTTTTACTGAAGTTAGGGTTGGTTCTGTTTTGTGAATTAGTTCAATAAGAGATGATCTTCAAATATTGAAGATAAAACAGGATCACAGTAAATCTGTGATCTGTCTTGGAAGATTTTGATTCTGTATGCGATGAATGAATGTTACTTTGCATTGTTCTGAGCTATGATTTAGATGCATTTATGATATTTGAGTTATTGAGAAAACATTTTGTTCTAATTTTTGCTTATATAATCTCGAATTATTATAATTGAGAAGCATTTCGAATATTTTAGTTCTAATTTATATGCATATCTAACTGGAAGGTATTGTAATTTATATGCATATACTATAGTATTTAAGTCATTTTAATTTATTGTAAGTTGTCATAATATATTTATTTAATTCTAATTTATATGCATAATATTTGAGTTAGAATGTATATGCATTTATATTGTTAATTGGTGCATTAAAAAACAATTTGTATTCAAATCCAAAACTTGGAAAATATATTTTTAAAGATTTATTGCCGTCTTCGCTCAAAAGACTTTGAAGAATTTGCTACGTTTACGAAATGATTTATTACAAAGAAGAAACACATAACAGCAATTCGTTAAGGATTTCAAAGGTTAAACAAACACATTGATGAGGTAACATCTCAAAATATATCTTTCAAAAGGGAACCAACCATCAGGATGTCATGTTACAGAATCATTTACAACCAAAACATCACAGCACTAATCTACGAGTTCTAAGAGCTACCAGTGATCAGACTTCACATACATACATGATCATAAACAGAACTCAAGAGAGCAAGTTGTCGACACCAGCAATCAGAGGACGCCAGTGTAGTGTACACCTGCAAAAACACATTGAAAGGGCCTGCTATGTTTGACATCAGATGCCAGTTTAAAGTTGTGCTCTGTCCTCTGAGCTACAGCTTACCGTTAACAGTTAAAGGTACACACATAATATGGGGGGTTTTTTTTTTTTATATATATCAAGTCAGAGTTAAATCTACTAAGAGGGCAGTTGAGTGCCAATGTTATCAGCCAGTCTGAACACACAAATGAATCAACACAACAGCAAAAATGAACCAAGTGCAATATGGAATGAAGCTTTAGCTTCACTGTATTGCTGTGCCAAGAGTAAATGCATTAGCACATTAGATTAATTTGATCGTTGAAATTTCTTAAAGTGATGAAGCTGTCATGACAAATCAGGACTGAAATGTTTTTCCTGTCTTGTTTAATGACTTGCTAATTTAGCTTTCATCATTTTGTTCTTTGTTTGAAACCCTTTCAAAACACCATCATCTTGGCAAGAAGCTCCATCATTAAAGACTTTTTAAGATTAAAACGAATCATTGAAAGATGGAGACATACAGAAATAATCACACAACGTTAATCCAACAAGAAAGCATTTACAAAATGTTTTAGAAGTAGATTACCTGATGAAAGGTACTTAAGTCTTAGCATTAGCAATGGTCAAAAGGCACAAGGTGGTTAGAAGTTGGTGTTTTCCAGAACATAGTGCTTCAGTGTAACTAAGCCCAACTTTAAGTTAAGAACAGCCTTGCTCCTGATTTGTGTAATCCTGAATAATTCAGTACAGCAAAAGGAGGCTTTCGCAACATTTCCCGTTCACCCAGTTTGGAAAAATGCAAGGTTTTAATTGTGGGATCAGTTAACTTTCACATACAGTTGTTGAGAATAGTCCATGCTTCTGATCCATCATTCTGATCCATTGTCCGTACTATATATACACAGTTCCTTGATGGCTCTCACAGGGTTATGAGAAACAAAGTGAAGGAAAAATTCGGTGTGAATTTAAGACTCGCACGGAGAATAAAAAAAGGTTTGAGTTCACTTAAGCCACAGTGTTGGTTCTTGAATAGGTACTATCATGTGTTAGAAACTGTATAATGCAAAACTGTCAGATTGACGGAGTTTGAGTTTGTTTCTCTCAAACTGTTGATCCATTAGCAGAAGCTCTAAATCAGCCCATTTAAAAAGTCATGTTTTCCCCTTTCATTGCATGCTGACAAGTCTCAGTAAAAAGTCATTGGAAAATATTAGTCAATTTTCATTTAATTTGCCATTTTTGGTTTTGATCCTTGCAAACAAAATCTCAAAATTTGCACCATGGTCCATTTTCCGTTATTTTCAGTAGCTAGTCCAAAAACAGATTAGAAAGAAAGACCAAAATCCATGTAATCCTTTTCAAATGAGTTTTTCACTTAGGAGGTTGATTGTGTAGGGGGGAAAGGACCTTATCGAATATGGGAAGACGCCAGCACAATAAAACAAGATGAATTGAGGGGATGAGGGCTCTTGAGTTCTGCTCATCTTGATGGCATCATTATTACCAACCATGGCAAATGATGCAGAGACTCAGCAGTCTGTCCATCCTCAGATTGTTGTTGTAAATTATAGCAATGATGGCTGAGCAGGTTGAATGTTGGTCTTTAAAGCTCTATAACAGGGTGGGCAAGGGGGTGGGTGACAGATGCTCCTTGGGGGCGTACTTGGCGAAGAAGGGCAGGAAGAGTGTGAGCATGACACCTACGATAGCCAGCATGTAGCCCCATCCTATCTGACACTCCCCGGCGTAGTAGATGTCCGAGTCTCCGCAGAAAGACTTGACCAGGCTGGAGTTCAGACCGAAGGGGTAAACCAGTAAACCAGATGCCATAATGACCACTAAAACAGAGACACAGAGAGAAAGCAAATTAATTAGTGGTTGAATGGAAGTTAGGTGTAAATAATACCTCAAGACAATAATACATGGTGTTCAATTTGGATGCAAGCTACATTTAAAAAAACAAAAAAACTATACGAGTTTCAGGACAATATTATAATGAAGAAAAACAAAACAAAACCAGACGAAATCTACTTAACAATACAAACAAATAAAGAATAAGTAAATTAATGTGTGGCTTAACAAAACAATGAAAGTGCACAGTCTGCACAAAAAAGAAAATGTAACTGAAAATGAGATTTAGTATAGGTCAGAAAATGACATTGCTTAAAAGCATCCTAAGCTTTATTAAACTGGTTAGACGAAACAATAAGTGAAAAAAGCCCACAGAAAATTATTTAAAAAAAAAACAAAAGTGGTTGGTAATTGTCTTAGACTTGTTTTATCAAAATTTATTTTTTAACAATTAATAAATTAAATAAATAAGAAAATAAAACATTTAACATGAATTAATTAAAATGCCGAAGAAAATAATTCATAATAAAAAAAAACATGAAGCACTGACTGAAATGAGAAATAGGCTACCTTAAACATGAGATATTGTTTGACATCTACATTTAATGTTTATAAATTCTGTTGGCTATTTCTCTATAAACAAAATAGTTCAATCCAACTACATTTATCATTTTTGCATTCTCACTCAGAAAACTGAAATTTGAAATATTGTAGTATCAACAACAATGCTCAGGGTGGCAGTAGAGTTGTGTATCAGTCCAATGAACGGAGCATTAATGAAAGAAAAGCCCGCAATACTGTTTGGAATTTTGCCATGGAAATATCAAACATACACAAAACCATCAGCCCATATATGTCTGAAATCAAAATTCATTAGATGATGAGTGACAGTCCATGAGTGCGAGTGGTGTATGGTGACTGAGGAAAGCCAATAGAAGAATTTTAGGAGAACATATCCAGTGTTAAAATCATTTGCTGTCAAATATCTATTGAACCGGGCGACAGATTTCTATGTTGGCTGAGTACACGCGTCGTTAATTTGATTGAATTAAAGTCACAACAATCATTTTAAAATGTTTAAAGCTGGATGACAATATAAATAAATGTAAATAGTATTTAACACATAGTAAATATTACTGATAAATAGTATTTAATCACATTAACATATTGAGAAAATATTTTGGGGTCAGTAAGAATTTAGCATTGATGCATTTATTTGATCAAAAGTGACAGTAAAAACTTTTACATTGTTCTAATCCTGAAAAAAACAATACATTACGGTTTACACAAAAAATATTTACTGTTTTTAACATAGATAATAATGTAAAAAAAAGTTTTCTTGAGTATGAAATCAGCATATTAGAATGATTTCTGAAGGATCATGTGATTGAAGACTGGCGTAATGGTGCTGAAAATTCAAATATATAAAAAAAGAAAAATTATTTTAAATTGTAAAAATATTTCACAATATTCCTCCTTGACTGTATTTTTGATTAAATAAATGCTGCCTTGGTGAGCACAAGATATACATCTTAAAATATATATATATAAAAAAAACCTTACCAAACTTTTGAATGACAGTGCATTTTAAAGGCACTCTATGCAAGATCTGTACCTTAATATAACAGCTTCAAAGTCGTTTTGGTGGTTAACAAAGTCATAGTAGGGCGAATCATCCTGGTAGGAAAGCTTGGGGGGGACGCCGCCGGAAAAACCAGCCATGCAAGTTTGAGAGTGGCGCCCCTGACACAGCGCGTGAGAATCACGAAATGGTTTACGGCAACGACGTCACACGCATCAACAACATCATACTGTATGAAGCTACTTTCGAAAAAGGGAAAGAGAATCGGACCGTGCTAGTAGAAACCGGACAAGAGTCCACTCGGTCGGGCTTTCACTCGTTGGCGCGAGCTTAAAAGCTGCACTGGATTGTAACTGCGATGCTGACCTGGCGATCTTGTTGATGGACTTGTAAGTAAATCTCTTATTTATAAACTTGTTTGTATTTATATACTTGTTTCTATATTGTATGTTGCTGCACTGGCTTGTGGTATGTAATTTTTTACGGTGCTGTTCATTCATCCGTTGTTGATAATAAGACCAGTTCAATAATTCTCACATATGTCTATAGCTTTCGATTACCAGAGCTTTAAGCAGACTTCCTAAAAACAGTCGTTTCTCTTAGTCTTGTTGTTTTTTCCGTTATGTTTTATTGCCGAGCTTGCCACAAGAGCTAGTTTGCCAGCTGAACTCAGGTGTTGTGATGTGTATTTATCACGTATCTTTAGTCCTGTGTCTGGTTCGGATTTCTTATGACGTGTGTAAGTTACTGTTATATCAAGTTTATCTGACTAACAGTACACTTCCCGACTGTAACTTCAAATTGTGTTGATTTTGAATCAATCAAATCTTGACGCTGTTGATGTTGATTCTTGCGATTACCATGAGGACATAGTCAATATCTCACATAATTATTAGGACATATATAAGCCTAGAGGTTGTAAATAATTGAACACAATTTGCTATTATGATAAATTGTAATCATGTCTAAATCATAACGTCCAATGTTATGAAATAATGCGACGTACATTTAACTTGATTGATGTCATCTGACATTTTGTAATGTTTACATTACAATCAAAAAACATGAATGAAATTATACAGTAGCCTATACACTATAGGCTATTTACTTCTGATTTTGCAGAAATCATGTAAAAACGCTATAAGCCAGCAAACGCGATAGGCAACTTTATTATTAAAAAGCAGTCTAGCCCTTGACAGTAGTTCAGTATGCAGTAACAGGGGAATAACGGTTATTTACGACAGTGCAAGTACACCACAGCGGCTCTAGAGGTCACTGTTTTACAAAAAAACCAGAGAGTGCATAGTGTGCCTTTAAGATATGAAAAACTATTAATACTGTAAAATATTTTCCCTGACATGTAAACAATAACTGAATGTTATTCAATTGTTGCTGCAGTGATGTGATGAACAGGTGTTTCGATATTGAATATATTGACCACTCAGCATCTAAGATCAGTTTAATCATCGCCAATATCACATGAAACCCCGGGTTATCCTCAACATACTGCATAACCGGTAAATGACTTAATGGCTATTTTCGCCCAGGGGTGCAGAACATCCTAATTCATCTATCTATTATCCTCCACACAAAAACACCCACACTAAGAAAAGTGCTTTCCTACTGTTGAATGGCCTCAGATCCAGCTGTGCTAGTGTTTATCAGCGGGGGCCTGACATCTCGAAGCTGCTCAGCTAATGGCATCATCATGTCTTTCTCTAGCTTTGACTGTATCCACACAAACACGCAGTCAAACACGTCCACTCCGGCAGAGCAAAATCACCTCTATCAGTGGATGTTTACACTCACATGACAGGACATTCAATGAGTCTCAACAAGCTATTCAATAGAATTTCATTTTAAAGGCAATCTTCAATGAAAGACACACATACAGATAGTGCAACTGTATGGAGTTTAATTAAAGCGGGTCAAATCGACAAGAGCTTCACTGCAGAGGCTTGCAGATCTCAGGGCCAATTGCAGTCTGGATCAGATAAAAGCTTGAGCGTGTGTGTGTGTGTGGCCTGGTAAACTCTACATTTTGGGAACAAAATGTCCCCACAAAAATGGCAATATCTGAAATCCTTGTCCTTGTGGGGGCATTTTTTGGTCCCCAAGAGGAGAACAGCTTATAAGTGATGTTTTTTGAAAATGTAAAATGTAGAAAGTTTGGTGGGGAGGGTTAGGGTTAATGTAGGGTTAATATGTCTTGGAAAATCCCCATAACATACAATGTTTGTTGGGGGGGGGGGGGGTTCATGATAAAATACACCTTATCAGACACTGAACTGCGGTCTGTCTTTTGCTTTAAAGTCCACATCGTCTTGATTGTCAGATTGCACAGTGATACAAAGTGTACTTGGTGTTTTGGTCATTTTTTTTCACATGTGGCTTTGATTCACAAATGACGTGTAAGGTAGCCACTTAATAGTGGCCAAATTTAGATTCAGGGTCAACGAGTACATAAAGCTAAGAGGCAGAGTTTGCTTTAAAAAGAACACACTTCAATACCAAAGACATGCTTTAAAGGAATAACACAGGTTAAATACTAGTTGAGCTCTATTGACAGCATACTGTCGACTGCGATAGGAAATAATTAACTCATACATTAAATAATACAGATACAAAACGATATATTGACAGAAAAGCTCAATATATGTAGTAATTGTTATTACTACAAACTGACTTTGTGGTAATAACAATGAAATAAAAAATATTACATTTAAATAGGTCCAAGCATTCACACTGTATTTTCCAGATTATAAATTATTATATCATCTGAAACATGCTTCGACTTCTATTCTAGAGCGACTTATAATGCTAATTCTAATTCTATAGTGCTAATAATGTAAAGCCTGCAAAATAGAGTATAAATAAACGCGCACAAATACACGTGAAAAACAAATCAGTCCTTGCACAGGTGCCATTAGTGTTGCAGAAACGACATAGGTTACTTCACATTTAATGAAATAAAGAACATATGGGAAGAAATCCCATATCAACATAATCCCACATCAACCAGTTGAGCAATACAAGGATGGACGTGAAACTGCTCTTTTAATTCTTTCAAATAAATAATATAAAATAGCTCAAACTATTTTCAATTACAGTAATTAATTACTTCAATCAGCCAATTCAGTTGGATTGATTATTTGTTAAGGTTTCTGATCTCATGTGTTGAGGAACACAGAAACTTGAACAGCGACAGCCAGTAGCCCCACAGCGCTGCCCTAAACCCTACTAACTGTAGTGTCAAAGAAGCTCTGGCCGCCCTGTCAAGGACGCTTGTCAAAAGTACGGGGAAGCTTGTTGGCGCTTTGAACGCTCTTTGAACGTTGCAAGGAGAATAGAAGTGCCACAACATGAAATGTAACAAACAGAAAAAACAAGCAATACATTGAAGAA